CTTCTTGTGCTTTTTCAAATTCTCTATTTTTGTTGTCTTGGAATTTCTTGAGTGTCTCCTGTACATTTTGGTTGATCATATCCAGTATCATCTCTATAAAATTCTCATTGATTACCTGTAGTATTTCTTCTTTTAGTTTATTCTTGTGGGCTTCATTGGGTTCTTTGGCATAGTTTATCTTCATTTTGTTGGAGTCTGGATCTGAGTATCTGTTTTCTTCATTTCCCTCTGGTTCCTGTACTAATTTTTTGCCGTGGGAAAACTGGCTTTCCTGTTTGTTTTGTGTTCCCATCATTTCCCTTGGTGTTGTTATTGTCCCTGTACTGTGTGCAATTAAGCATTTTCTAGCTTGTAATAATAACAATGGTGATATTTAGAATGGAAGGGTGAGAGGAGAGGGAAAACAAAGAAGTTAAAGAAAGAGGGAGAAACAAATAAACAAAAAACCCAAAACAAACAAACAAACAAAAAAAGTTTCAAAGATATAAACAGGGAGAGATAGTGTACTAATCAATGGTAAGCTGAACAGGCATTTGAGAGACACAGAGAGGATTGAGAAAAAAATGAAATAAAAAAAAATAAAAATAAAAATAAAAAAATAAAAAATAAAAAAATCTCCAAGTTCAAATGCAATAAAGTTTTAGTCTTAATAGTTTTGGTGTTAGTCCCTCAGCCTCCAATCCTGGAGATGGTGTCTCAGAAGTAGTTCTGTGGTTGTCTCCTCAAAGGGGAAAAAAAACAAAACAAAACAAAACAAAACACCACAGAGTGTCTGAAGTTCAAATGTAATACAGTTTCAGTAAGTTTTCAACATGCAGGTGTAGTTCGGTGTTGTCTCATCAAAGGTAGGGAGAAAAAAAAAGTCTGGAGACAGTTCTGTGAATGGCTATTTGAGGCTGTGGCTCACTTGCCCACTGCTATTAGCCTGCTGTTGCTGCAGACTTTATTGATTGCAGATCTCAGGAGTGAGCTTAGCACTCACCTAGCCCCTCAGGCTTTGTTTACTTAGAGTTCTCCTGGGCGCGACCGCCACTGCTACAAGCTTTCCCCTTACCAAGCACACTGGGGGAGGTGACACTGCACCAGCTTTTTCAGGCCTGCATGTTTATTTTCAGTTCACGTTGGAAGTTGGCCTTCTCCCCTCTCCTGTGGAGTTTTCCTCCCACTGCCACTTTTACAAGCTTTCCTGCTCCTGGTTGCCTGGCTTGTGCCACCACTCCTGCCTTCTCTGGCCGGCTTGTTTATTTACAATTCCGTGAGGGATTTCCCCTCCCCACCTCTTTGGCACTCAGGGCACCCCACCCTCTTTGTTACATGTTTTTTTGTTATTATTGCTTATTATTCAGTTTTTTTTCTTTTTTCCCTGCGTGTGTGTTGGTCTATCCAGGGGGCTATGCTGATCTGGCCCAGGGATGTCTGTGGGAGTACCACATGACGCTTAGCTCACCTTGTGGTCTGCTTTTTCCCACCATCTGGGCGCTGCTGTCTGGCGGTGGCGCGGGAGCCCTCCTGGTTTCTCTGTTTAATGTGGAGTGGGAATGTTACGCATGGGCTGGGGGTGTGGAGGAGTCAAAGTTTTGCCTCTTCTAGGTGGTTTTTCCTGTAAGGTGTATCTCCAGCGTCTCTCCAAGATTTTACTTTAGGCATGCTTTCTGCTTAATCCCTCTAGCTGCCATGTTAGAATCTCCTGAGGCTTAACAATTATGATTCATGTTTCCTTTCCTGGGCACTGGTTACTTTGGAGGTATTAGCTCTTGGAATTTTACTCAGTTAAACTGAGTAAAATCTGTATTTGCCTGTTAATCTCTCCAATTTTGGGGGTGTCCATTTTCCCTGTTACCTCACTCCTCTTAGGGACCAAAGAATGGTTGTCTGTTGACTTTTCAGTTTGTTCAGGTCTTTTTCTTATTGTTAGGACAGACTGGCAATTTCCATGCTTCTTAACACACAAGACCAGAGACCTTGTTCATGTCTTAAGAGATTGATAACTGTTTAATAATCTTGGCTTCATTTACCTGACGTGCTTATTATCTCATCCTAGTACTGGTACTGGAATCTACTTTAGGGAAAACCGGTTTTACATTTTATTATTGCTCACTAGCAGGTTTCAGCTTGGTTTTTTTCCTGTTCTGTTTTGGTTCTTTGAATTTTATCTTACTGCTTTTTTACCCCTAAGTGCAAGCAAATCCTTAAAAAGTTATTTTACAGTTGGGTGTTGGTGGCTTATGTTTATAATCCTGGCTACTAAGGAGGCAGAGATCAGGAGGATCATGGTTGAAAGTCAGCCCCAGACAAAGAGTTTGTGAGACCCTATCGAAAAAAAAATCCATCACAAAAAAGTGCTGGCAGAGTGACTCAAGTGGTACCTTGAGCCCAGCAAGAGTGAGGCCCTGAGTTCAAACCCCAGTGCCACACAAAAGTATTTTACTTTATTTTTTATTTATTTTACTATATATCATTATTATAAGAAGAATGACCTTTCTGGAAATCTAATCTGCTATGTTATAAAAAAAAAGAAGTCTTTTCTTTGTGGCCTTTAAAAATGAATACATTTTCTTTTATTTACCATTAAGGAGAAGCATTTACTAAAAATTCCTAGAGTTAATCTTTTTTTTTTCTTTTGTGGTGGTGAGGATTGAACCTAGGGCCTCGTGTGTGCTTGGCAGCACTCTACCCCTGAGCTACATCCCCGGCCTCGAGTTGTTACACTGAAGTGTGTATTTATTACTTTTTATGTGTTATATTTCTTTTTTTCCCTCTTTTTCTGAATAATGTTTATATATAGTTCATAGATTCCTTTCCATCTTTAAATGGAGGAAGAATGTATATATGAAACAGCTAATTTGCTCAAGGATAATGTAGGGAAAGATTGAAAAATTGGTGACCTTACATTTACACTATTATATAAGATTATACTTCTACGTCCTTATTGTGTTCACTTCTTCAGGACAAGTCTATACTCAGGTTTCTGTGGTGATTTATTATTATTTTTTGGTATTGGGGATTGATTCTAGGGTTTCCTGAATGCTAGGCAAGTGCTCTACTACTCAGCCACACTCCTAGCCTGTACTCAGTTTTTGTGTACTCAGGTTGAGGAGGATTTTGGAGTGGCTCTCAGCATATATGATTTGATGCATGGTTAATTCAGGATCTTTAGCACTGAAGTATTCTATAAATATTATTAAATGAATGACTAAATGTGTATTTAACTAAGTAAAGAACTTATTAATCTGAGTATCTCATAGGTACCTTATAATTAATACAATGTACACTAAACTAATTATTTTTGCTACATAGTGGTGCCTCATCTTGAATTTCCCAGGCATGTATGTATGTATGTATGTATGTATATATGTCCATTTCCTATCATTCCCTCCTTCTCATTCTTATTGTCACTTCATTAGTGCAGGCCAGTACCATTGGCTGTTTTACCACTTCAAGACTCCATGCTTCTCATCTCAAACCCTGACAATCTGGCCTCCATACTGTTAACAGAGTGCTATTCAAGATGGAGACCTATTGCTATAATTTGAATGTTTATCTCCTCTGAAACTTATGTTCAGATTTAGTTGCCATTGTAACAGTGTGAAGATGTGGGGTCTTTGGGAGGTAAGTAAGTTTAGATAAGGTCATGAGTGGGTCCATATTATGGCATAAGTACCTTTATAAGAAGAGGGAGAGAGACATGAGCTATTAGGCTTCATCTTTTCATGATGAAGGAAGAAGGCCTCTACTAGTTGCTGGGAAGATGCCAATGTCATGTTTTTGAATTTCTCAGTCTCCAGAACTGTGAGCCAAAATAAACTGCTTTCCTTTATAAATTACTCAGTGTCAGAAATTTTTTTATATCAAGAGAAAAATGCCACAATTATTAAAAGACTTACCATACCTCTGTTTAATGGTTAGAATAAAGTAGTGGAAATAGAAGTAAAGCTTGCTATAAACAACCGTGATTTTGTGCCATGTGCATAGTGATGCACTAAGTGAAGTTAGCAGACAAAAGCAGAATGGTTGATTTTTTTCTTTTTTTGTGGGACTGGAGTTTTCACTCAGGGCTTCATACTTGCAAAGCAGGCACTCTACTGTTTGAGCCACACCTCCAGTCCACTTTGCTCTGGTTATTTTGAAGATGAGATCTCTCAAACTATTTGCCTGAACTGGCCTTGAACCAGGATCCTCCTGATCTTAGTCTCCTAAGTAGCTAGGATTACAAGACTGAGCCACTGGCACCCAGCAGAATGACTGATTTTTATGTGTTGCACATCAGATTATTTCCTTGAAAGAAGAACAGAGAGTTTACTGTTTTTTATTTGTGTCTCATAAGCATTGCCTTCTTCAGGAATCAGGAAAAGAGAAAAAGATACATGCTCAAAAGAGTGTGCTGTGGTTTGGACACATCCCCCAAAGGCCCATATGCTAAAGGCTTGGTTGCCAGCCTGTGCAGCTACTGAGAGATGGTGGAAACTTTAGGAAGTAGAGCCTACTGGAAAGAAGTTAGATCACTGGGGGAAGATCTTTGAAGTGGTGATAGGATCCCTGGCCTCTTCTCTCTCACTGTTTCCCTGCTGCCTATGCTCCCCACCGTAACCTACTTACTGCCTTGCCACAAGTCCAAAGTGATCATGGACTAACACCTCTGAAATCATGATTCAAAAATCTTTCCTCCCTATAAATTATTTATCTCAAGTATTTTGTTGCAGTGATGGAAAGATGACAGAAGGGAACCTGAACAAATGATCAAGGATAAATAACAGAGACTTGTCTTCAGTAATTTAAGCCTAGATTAATATGTATGAATAATTTTAGCTTATTGGTCAATTCCTTGAAGAGGCTAGTGAGAGCCTTAATATTTTGTGAAAGCTTTTTAACATAACCAGAGATATGTTTATAGAATGATTCAAAAGGAACTTAGTATCAATAAATATCAGTAACTCAGTGAAAACAAGGACATGCAGAACAACAAATATGGCTGAAACACAATTGTCACAAATCAGCCCTACCTGGGAAAGTTGCTTCAATGAAGTTTTTGAACTTTGCTACTTTATCTTCATCTTTAGCCATATTAATCTTTGCTGTCAGAATATGTATATGACCAAACTTGTTCCTGACATGCTGAGGGCTGCCCAGGCATGTGAACCTCCCTTTTACCATGATGGCCAGCCTTGTACAGAGGGCCTCACATTCTTCCATGCTAGGAGGACAAAGGAGATATGGCTGAAGAGACCCATTTTCAGAGGATAAATTTTGTGTTTCAGAGCTAGGATTGGAAGTCTTGGAATTTGAATCCCTGGCATTGAAAATGATTGCCACTAAATATGACTAAGGTAATATTCCCTAACTTCTATCTTCTTTCAATTCTTGTTTCCAGAACTCACTGAGGATTCTTGGCTCTCCCCTTTAGCAGGTTCAACCTCTATCTACAACCCTACTGTAGCTCATATGCTTACATAAGTTTACTGACCCATAGCCCTGGCTCAAACTTATTCCATTCTACACCCATTGCAATTTCCAACCAACCCTCTCAATACCACACCTGTGAGAGGTTATGATGATGGCTTTTCCACTTTCACGTGTCTTTGTCACTGTGTCCCAGAGCAAGCGCCGGGCTACAGGGTCCATGCCAGTAGATGGCTCATCCAGGAAGACCACTGAGGATTTTCCCATTAGGGCAATTGCAGTACTCAGCCTGCGTTTGCTTCCTCCACTTCGTGGCCAAAGAAGGAGACATAACATGAAGGATAAAGAAAAGGATAAGGGTGCACATTTAATTAATTTAGAGGACAGGTTACATACCTAGAGTGCTCATTTGATATGATCAACAAAGCAACAGACTCAAGTTCAAGTATGTATGTCAATTATTTTAACTGGAATTATACTTGTAACTTGTTTCAGCATCGTTATTGGTGAGATTTTTTTTGTTTTGATGTGACAAAAATCTCTATAGCGAGATAGAAATAAAGGCAGATAGTTCATGTCTGCAAAAGGTTAATGTCATACAAGTGTGGTCTGCTGTCTGAGAACACATCTGGCAGGATGTTAAGTTATTGTACAGTCTTTGGCTCTATCAGAGGGGCTTAAGTGGACTTTTTAGGCCTTCATTTTAAACAGTATAAGCACAAGATAGATTTGTTAATATGTTAAGAATATATTTTACCTGTATGTGTGAATACACTTGTCAGCATGGGGTTCCAGTTGCATTGAACACAAAAAGACTTCCACGTACTTGTAAATATTTGGCTCTGGGACCCCCCACAGTCTGGCATACATGATCAGCAATTCCCGACCTGTCATGTGGTTCAGCACTGAGTCTGACTGAGGACAATAGCCAATTCTTGATCTAACCTGAATCAAGTGAGTAATCATAAGCAACAGTTAACTATTCCACTGAGAATGCAGTTCACATGGTTTGATACCCTTAGAGCTCCCATCAAGAATGACTTCTTTTCCATGCTATGTAATCTTCACAGCTGGAACTCACTAAAGTAAAATGGAATACTAACATCTCCAACTGAAAATTTTAGCATGCATCTGTTTAACACTATGTTCCTCAAACAGGTTTTTGTTAGGTGAAGTTGCCTATTCAATTAAGAAAGAGCTATTCCTATGCACTATAATAATATATAGGATTGCAATTTCAATAATGGCTAAGTAACTTCTATAGACCAATCCTCTTATGGATAATAATTATAAACCATCTATACACACATATACATATAAAGTATACAGAGATATGCTCATTTTTATGTATTTTGTCAAAGCTAAAAGAAGCTATCAGCTATGACTAACATGGAATAAAGTTTACCATGTGAGTTCAGCTATCATAAATAAAATTAATAAAGAAAAAAGATTAAAAATAGATAAAAAGATATGAATAAACTATTCATAGGAAAGGAAATACAAATTACTTTAAAACATTTTTTAAAGTTTTGTAACTTTGCTCATAAGAGAAAAAAATATGGTCAAATACTATTTTAAAAAACCTAAAAGGACAGGTCACACAATCTGATGTGATCAACACTATCAGACATTGGTGGTACAGTGCCAATTCATGTAATTTCATATAGAAAGCAATTTGACAAGGTCTGTATGTATAATACACTACCTTATGTGTAATAAATGGAAAGAAGACCTTTGTAGTGGACTGTATATACATAAAACTTGTAGAATGATAAAATGGTTACATTTTTGTGTAGGTTTAGCCAGGAAAGAGGCAAAGACAGGTAGAAGAGGGACTAAAACTTGTTACATGTATACTTTTATGTTGTTTTGATTTATGCCCCAAGTAAAGGAAGCCTTCTTTTCTCAGCTTGTGTTGCTATACATTTTAAAATTCTTTTCACTGCCCTGTTCCATTTAGGTAAATATGCTCAAATTGCTGAAAACTACTGTCTGTCTTTGTCATCTGCTTGTACTCTAGATGTAAGATGTAATTCTTCATTTTCTTTTTGCTTTACAACTGACTTTCTTTAAATTTGGTGTGTGCTCATTATTTCCCTGTTCTTATTTGCCATCCAGGCTTCAGCGATGTCTGGGGGACAATTTTCAGGACTACAATGCCTAGGATTTCCAGTTCATTTTTATTTGAAAATTTCTTGTCTCATCTGGTTTGAGTGACAAAACTTTACCCAGATTTCCTTCCTAAGTCATCAGTTTTTCTTGATTTTTTTCTCTAGTTATTTTCCTTTCTATTTCTTTGAAATGTTGATAATCCTCAGGATTAAGTCCATATATTTATTTCCATTATTATACAGATTCCTGATAACAGTATCTCATCTACTTTCACAGTTTAAATTTCACCTGCACTTTGATGAATCCTGAATTTGTACCAATTTACCATCATAGGTTCCAACTGTTTAATGGATATGCTCCCATTTGGAAGTGTTGTAGACACCTTAAGATCAACAAAGGCCAGGTTTGGTGGCGCAGGCCTGTGATTCTACCTATGCAGGAGGTAGAGGGAGGAGGATTGTGGTATAAAGCCAGACTTGGGCAGTGAAATGCTATCTGAAAAATAACTAAAAAAAAAAAAAATAAGGGCTGGAGGCATGGCTCAAGTGGTAGAACACTAGCAAGTGCAAGGCCTTGAGTTAAAAACCCCAGTACTGCCAAACAGCAACAAGGAAAGATCAATATAATACTCTTCCAATCAACACATACTCCTCCAAATAAGCTCATTGCCTGTATGTACTTTTTTGGTGAATGGAACTTTCACCCATTCATTAGCTGGGGATAGAAAACTGAGCAATACCTTTGGATCCTTTCTTTTCCTTATAATTCACATTCAAATGAAGTCTGATCTTGTAAATTCTACTTTATATCTTTTGCAACTACTTTTCTAATCACTGTTTTATTTCAAATTCTAATTATGTCACAGCAGGTTGAATGCAATTACTGTTCTTCCTGTTTCCAGTTTGGCCTACTTACAGATACTTGTACTTTGCTTCAGTCAGAAAGAATAGTTGCCCTTCCTCAAAATCAATGTTAACATGCTCATCACTGTCCCTGGAATGTGTTACTTTTGAGATTTGTATATCAATGCCATCAGCTTTTCTTCCATGTCCTCCATTAAATGCCTGTTCACCTCCTCTATCAGGACACGAGGTCAGTGGCTTAGATGAGAAATACCTTTCTGATATTTTCAGTGATGCTATTGCCATCAATTAATGCAACTCCAGAAGTGATGGTCTCCTCTCCAGTTACCATTTTGAATGTAGTGGTTTTTCCAGCTCCATTTAATCCAAGCAATCCGAAGCACTCTGACTTTTGGACTACGAGGGAGATATTTCTTACAGCATGTACAACTGGACACTTATAATAAATCTGAGGAAAAAACCCTACAATGTACTGAGGAACTGATAATGGGCCAACCACAACCATAACCTCAAACTCCTATGAATTGCTTCCTGCGACAGTTTCACAAGAGCTCCTCCCCATTCAGTCCTCTATGTTACCAGAATATATATAATCATGAAACTCCAATGAATTTGTACTACCATGGGAAAATTCTTGGTAGAGAAAATGTGTAAACCTCAGGGTAAAGCTGTCCATTGGATGATTTTACCTTTGTAACTTCATTAAGAAGCACAGGGGTATTCTCTAACTTGTGATGCAATGCCAGGACTTTGTTTCTTTCTCCTTTTATATCTTCATCCTCATGTTCTGTGATTCCTTCACTGGGTAAGATAGCCTATATTTTTAAGAAAAGGATTACATGTAGATACTCTTTAGATAAATGGCTTAAACTGCACAGCTTTAGGAAGACTAACCTGAGGGTATAATCTCAAAGATGTCAGATAATGTTTGAGTAATTTCTAAGAGCCATTCTACCAATTTCCTGAAGTCTTATGCACAAATATATCCTTGGCATGCTTCATCGTGAAAAAGTTTCTATAGTTATTAGTAAGCAATGTGTTCTTGCCAATAATATGGACACTTGCCAATAATATGAAGAAAAGAAGCCACAATGATATTAATTATTATCTAATGTGATTTGTTACAACTAAATGTATATTCAAGAGATCATAAAATCCCAAGAGGAAAGGATGAACTCTTTCACTTTTGAAGAAATTCTTCTCTATAAGTCAAGTCTAGGAGTGTGAAGAATAAGTAAGAATTTGAGAAAATGAAGGTGGGATGGGGATGCAGGAAGAGCTACATAAAAGTCAAATAAAAAGAAAACTGGGGAGCTGGCAGAGTGGCTCAAGCTGTAAAAGCTCCTGCTTAGCAAGCATGAGGACCTGAGTTCGAATCCTAGTGCTGCCACCACCAATAACAAAAAAGGTAAACTGAGACACAAGAAAAGCCAGGTGCCGGTGGCTCACACCTGTAATCCTAGCTACTCAGAGACAGAGATCAGGAGGATCGCAGTTTGAAGACAGCCAGGGCAAATAGTTTGTGAGACTTGTTCTCGAAAAACCCTTCACAAAAATAGGACTGGTGGAGTGGCTCAAGGTGAAGGCCCTGAGTTCAAGCCCCAGTATTGCAAACAAAACAAAACAAAAAACTGGGGGCATAGCTTTCACAAGCACAAGACCCTGACTTCAAACCCCAGTACTGACCCCCACCACCCAAAAAAAGTCAGCAGGAAATAATATGCCCTGTTATATGAACAGTAATTTGTACTACTTGAGCAAATGTTTACTGGTTTGAATTGCCAATTTTTGCATCAAGTACTGATTTAACAGTATTGATTGAGGAGGAGTGGAGTAGGAAAATATATTTAGCTCAGTAAATATGCTAATCAAAGGACTGAGAAGACAGCCCCCTTTTGAGTTTTTAATCTGAAAATCAGTTAATTATATAGAAGTGGTGACAATGGTATCCTTGCTGTTTTCTATCTTAGGAGGAAAATACTTCAGTCTTTCGTCATTATGTTACTTGCAGGCATCATATTTATCAGATTGAGACTTTCCTTTTTTTGGTGGTACTGGGGTTTGAACTCAGGGCTTCACGCTTGTTAGGCAGGTGCTCTACCACTTGATCCACTCCACCAGCCCTGGGTTTTTTTTGTTTGTGTGTGTGTGTGTGTGTGTGTGTGATAAGATTTTTTTTTTGTGTGTGTATGATGGATTTTTCGAGACAGGGTCTTGCAAAGTATTTGCCTAGGCTGGCTTCAAAATTCGATCCTCCTGATCTCTGCCTCCTGAGTAGCTAGGATAATAGATGTGACCCACCGGTGCCCAGCTAAAAGCTTAGTATTTTAACACTCAGACCAAGAGTCTTATAATTCAAATGAGTTCCAGATATACCTTAGTGGAATTGAATGCCATTTCCTTTATCAAGTAATGAAAATAGGTATAGGTACATTAAAATATTCTAGCCTAATGTTGGGTTTTCTTTGAATTATATTTAAAGTCCATGTGAGTAACTCACCGGTTTTCTTCTTATGAATATCTTGTAAAAATTAGAAATAATGTTATGAAAGACAAAGTTTTCCAGACTCCAAACTGCAGTCTCCATAGACAAAAGCAAGAGGAGAAAAATTAAACCCATGGCAGCCAGTGCAATCAAAAACTTTCCAATTCCACGTTCTCCAAAACTATAGATACTGTTCTGAATAACTGAGGATAAAAGAGATACCCTTACTTTAACAATGGGTACAGAGTCTAAGATGACACAAAATAGTATGACATATGAGACAAAATAAATTTTAAGTTAGGTTTAGAGAAGTACAATGCAGAAAGTAATTGTCTTGCTATCTTATTTGATCTCCCTTAAAATTCATGGTTATTTACAGTTTTATAAAAGTTCTTCTGCCATTTGTTTTCCCTCTAGTTTTTATACATTTTTTTCCCCTTCTGGCATGGGGATGGAACCCAGAGCCTCTTGCATGCTAGGCAATTACTTCTCTACTGAGCTACATCCCTAGCTCTCTTACCAGTTTTTGATAGGAGATAATCTTACCCACATTCAATGAATTTCAAAGATTGATCATTTGTAATCAGAATGCTTAGCAAACAAAAAAGCATATAAAAGCAAGATATAATGTATATATAACTATTAGTATAGGTCATGCAGAATATCCCAGAGAACATTAAAAAACTATTAAGTAGCTAAAAATTTAATATGGCAATACTCATAAGGAAGAAAACAATAAATAGTCTAAAATGTAAAACCAGTTGACAGTTTTTGACATAAAAATAAACACAAACAACTGAATTCTGGGTATAAGAATAGGAGGCATCTCTGAAATGTGAAGATAATTAATCTCTTCTCATAAGAATTGTAGTTTCTGACTGATTTGTATCAGTGTACAGAAATGCAGTGTATGTTTTATTGTAATAAAATTTACATTTTGGAAGTGTAATTTCAGTGACAGTGAGTATATATTCACATTGTTGCAAAACCATCACTACTATCTTGATCTAGAATATTTTCATCATTCCATGAGAAAACCCAGTATCTATTAGACAGTCACCAATACACTCTTTATGTTGCTTCCTGGTAACTACTTATCTATTATCTGTTTCTATGTATATACCTACATGGATATTTTATATAGTCTCTGGCTTCTTTCTCTTACCATAATGCTTTCAAGGCTTATCCATCTTGTAGTATGTTATCAGTAATGTTTGTATTTTAATTGCGGAACAATACTTTACTGAATGGATAGGTCACATTTCACTGATGTCACATCCATTTGTCAGTGGATGGACATAAAGATTGCTTCTATATTTTGGCTATGACAATGCTGCTTTGAACAGTTGTTTGTAAGCTTTTGTTTGAATAATTGTTTTGATTCTTTTGGGTACATGCGTATTATGGATGACTAATATTGGAATTCTATGTTTAATTTTTTGAGAAACTGTCATGCAGTTTCCCATAACAACTGCAATAATAAATTCCCACCAGGAGTATTTGAAGGTACAGACTTGTATACCTCCCCACAACTGTTGAAACATTTCACTTTTTATTACAGCCATATCACTGGGTGTGAACTCATACCTCACTATGAGTTTGATTTGCATCTTTCTAGTGACTAATGATTTTGAGCATCTTTTCATGTGCTCGTAGGCCACTTGTATATCTTCTTTATGGACATATATATTCACGTTATTTGCTCATTAAAAATAACTTTTTGTTGTTGATTTGTAGGAATTCTTCATATGTTCTAGTTGCTAAGGCCTATTAGAGATATGGTTCACAAATATTTTTTCTCTGTGAGTACTCCTTTCATTTCTTTTGACAGTTTTTTTTTCTTTTTCTTTTTTTGGTGTGGTCCTGAGTTTTAACTCAGGGCCTTGTGCTTGGTAGGCAAGTACTTTAACACTTGAGCCATGCTCTCAGTCCTGAAGGTGTCCTGGAAGCACAAACATTTTTAATTTTTATGAGGTATATTTATCTATTATTTCTTTGTGTGCTTTTGGTGTGATATCTGCTAAACACTGCCAGATTTTAAGTCATGAATATTTACCCCTATATTTTCTTGGGACATTTTAAACTTTTAGTTCTTATATTAGATCAATTGAGTTAATTTTTGTAAATGGTAAAGTACACTAAGAACGTAGACAACCATCCCCACAGATACTCCTACATAGCAAGGGAACAAAGAATGGCAGATAGTTGGTCAAAATTCTGAAGTGGGGGTTGCAGGAGGTCCACGTGTTCCCCAAAGATGGTAATTAGCTAAGGACAAATGTCCCCTCTATCCTTCCCAAGAAACACTTTTTCAGGCCAAAATCTTCATTGGGAAACATATTCCTCCCACTGGCAATAAAAAACTATAAAACCTGCTGTCCAACCCAACTAGGTGGACTACTGGTTTCCACCCCGCTGCATGTCCTCTCATGCGGCCTTTCCTTCTCTTTTCTACAAATAAATTTCAATCTAAGCTGAGGGTGGTAAGGACCCTCACCATCTGAGAATCCCAGCGTATTAATTCCACAATGTATTCTTATCAAACTTTAACAGCCTCTTTCTTCATTAAACACTTACTTGGTTTTTGATAGCTTTTCATTATATTCCAAAATTCCAAAAAAGTAGATTTTTATAGTTATTGTCACCTTAATCTTTGTTCAGTGAGTGAAGAGATTCTTGGAGATGCTTACCCCACCATTTTTAATCTCAACCTATTTTGACAAATCAGTCTGTTGATTTTCATTCATAATCTTGCCTAAATATTCTAGTAATTTATCTGTAGATTAAAAAATAATGTCTTGTGTTATTTTTGAGCTTGTAAAATAGCATCATATTGCTTGAGGTCTTTAGAGCATGGTTTTTAAAAATTCTTTATTATGCTTCTAAGATTTATTGATATTGTTGCCTTCAGCTGAAGTTCATATATTTTCATTCTACTGTGATAATCCATCAAGTGGACAAAAACCTTTATTTATCTATTCTCTTCATTTATATGTAAATGTGCCTATGCCATTTACATGTTTTTGCAATTCAGAAGTTGCTGAATAAAATATTCATCGGGGCCTATATCATGAAGTAGAAGTACTGGTATCAGCATGTTACAGTTTGTTAATACCAAGTTATTTTCCCAAGTGGCATTAATAAGTTACATCTAATAGCAGTGTATGAGTATTTCCATTTTCTCCATCTCAGTACTTGTTATTTTCAGACTTCCTTTTGTGTATTAAATGATATTCATTGTTCTCCAAATTTATATATTTTTTGATAAATAATGAACTTTATCAAATTTCTTTATAGGCCATAGCCTATTGATTGTGCATGTGTGTGTTTATCTATTCATATTAGAACACCAGTATCTTTTTTTCTAGGAAATTCTACATAGTAGTGTTTTGTCATCTATAGCTATATGTATACCTATATCGATATCTATCTATCTATATATATGAAATATTTTCTGCCAGAATGAGCTTCTGTGGTTTTTAAAGGTATCTTTCAATATTAATTTTGAAAGATATATTTATTAATCTTTTCTTTATCATTTATGGTCATATAATTCTTTAAGAAATATTTTCAACTTGTACTAAGAAAATTATTGTATTTTCTTCTCAAAATTTTAAACTGTATCATTTCTATTTTATCTCTTTTATCCACCTAGATTTTTAAGTTAGTGTGTATTAATTATACAAACATACTTCATTGTGATATTTCCATACATACATATAATATACTTAGGTCAAATTCAGCCCCTCTATTACTCTTTCTTATCCCTCCTTCCCCATTTTAAACAATTTTTAAAAGTTTTCATTATTCTATTTTCATATGTGTATGTATAATATAATTTGATCATATTCACTCTCCCTTTATCCTCTTCCCCAACTTGTCCCTAAGCAATTCCATTTTACACTATTTTCTTTAATTTTTTAAGGTATACATTCTACATTTGAGAGAAATGTGGTAATTGTCTTTCTTATTCTGGCTTATTTCACTTAACATGATCACCTCTAGTTCCATTCACTTTCTTGCAAACATCATAATTTTACTTTTCTTTATGGCTAAATAATACACCTATATATATTCATATATAAATAAATAACACACATGTTATAATATATAATATGTAAAATCTAATACATATATTACTTTCATTAGTTGGTAGGTATCTAGGTTGATGCCACAGGTTGGCTACTGTGAATAGTGCTGTAATAAACATGGGTGTGCAGGTATCCTCTAGTATGTTGACTTGTATTCCTTCAGATACATACCAAGAGTGGTGTAGCAGGATCATAAAGTAGTCTCTTTTTAGTTTTTTTGAGGAAACCTCCATACTTATTTCCATTGTGGCTGCACTAACTTACATTCCCCTCATCTTTACTAGCATTTGTTGTTTTTTTGGTGATTGCTATCTGATTGGGGTGTGATGGAATGTCAGTGTTATTTTCATTTGTATTTCCTTTATAGCTAAGGATGTCATGTACTTATTAGCCATTTGTACTTTCTGTTCATTTATTAATTGGATTATTTGTACTTTTGATGATATTTTGAGATCTTTATATATTTTGGATATTAATTTTTTATCTGATAAATAGCTGGCCAAGATTTTCTACCATTCTGTGGACTGTCTCTTCATTCTGATAGACTTTTTCTTTTAGGTGCAGAACCTTTTTCATTTGATGCAATCCTATTTGTCAATTCTTGTTCTTATTTCTTGTGTTAGTGAAGACCTAGTCAAAAGTATTTGCCTGTATCTTTCTTAGCTATCTTTCTTACCTACATCTTTCTTTCTTACCCTGTTCATTGCTGGTATATAGAAAAACTACTGATTTTTATATGTTAATTTTGTATCCTGCTACTGTGCCAAAAGTGTTTATATTTGATCTAGAAATTTTTGGACTGAATCTTTAGGGTCTTTTAAATATAGGATATTATCTGAAAATAAGATAATTTGACTTCATCTTTCCCTATTTGAATGCCTTATTGCTCTGGCTAGGAATGCCAGTACTTGATTAAATAAGACTGGGAGGAGTGAATATGCTTGTATTATCCCTGACTTTAGGGAAAATGATTTCAGTTTTTTTCCCATTCTGTATGATTCTGGCTATATATCTGTCACATATTGTCTTTATTATGATGAAGTATGTTCCTTCTATTTTTAGTTTTTTCCAGTAGTTTTATAATGGCAGAATTCTGAATTTTGTCAAAAGCTTTTTCTGCGTTTATTGAGGTGATTGTATGGTTTTTGTTTTTGATTCTGTTTGTATGTTTATTCATTTGTGTATTTTGAACCATCCTTGCATTCCTGGAATGAAAGCAACTCAATCATGGTGTTTAATCTTTTTGAAGTATTGTTGAATTCTGTTTTCAAGTGTTTTATTGACACTTGTATCTATTTTCATTGAGGACATTGGTCTAAAATTTTCTTCTGTGTGTGTATCCTTGTCCAGTTTGGTATCAAGGAAATACTGGCTTCACAGGATGAGTTTGGTAGCATTCCTTCCCCTTTCTATGTTATGGATCAGTTTGATGAGTTTAGTGCTAGTTCTTCTTTAAGAGTGGTAGCATTCTGCAGTGAATAGGACCCTGCATGAGGTCCTAGGCTCTTTGTTGGAAGATTTTTACTGTTTCAGTTTCATTATAAATCTGTTTAAGTGGTTTATATTCTCTTGCTTCAATTTTGGTAGTTGAAATACATGTAGAAACTTGTTCATGTCTTAGATTCTAGTTTGTTGGAGTATAGGTTTTCATATTCCCTAGTGGTCTTCTGAATTTCATTGGTATCTGTCATCTCCCCTTTTTTCACTAATTTTATTAGTTTAGGTCTTCTCCCTTCTTCTTTTGGTTAGTTTGGCTAAAGGTTTGTCAACCTTTTTTATCTTTTCAAAGAAAAGAAGTCTGTTTCATTGATTCACCATATTGTTTTTTTGTCTCCATTTCATTAATTTCTGACCTTACTTTTACTATTTCTTTTGTCTACTAATTTTGGGATTGGCTTGTTTCTATTTTTCCAAGAGTTTAAATTGCTTCATTAGGTTGTTCAAGATTTCTCTGGTTTTCTAATGTAGGTACTCATGTTGTAGGAACAATGAGGGAAACTAAGTCACTGAGACCATTTTTATAGGAAGCAGGGAGTTTATTATGCTAGCGGACTCAGAGGAGATAATTTCTCAAAGCCCTGAGCCCCATCTGTGTCAGGGGCTTGGTTAAATACTTACAGAGTTTGTCCTTTATCATCCCTTACTACCCTCCCTTTTAGTATGTGGTTACAGTTGGCAGGAAACTTTGCAAGGCTAGCAGGTGGCTGCAGTGCTGCAGAGCTAGCAGAAAGCTGCTTTTAGACTCAGAGTGGGGAAACCCAGGTGAATACCAGACACAGTAAATCCCAGAAAAATAGCCAAGCTGGCCCCAACACTCATGTCTATAAACTTTCCCCTTAGCCCTGCCTTTTCTGTGTATTTTCATTCTCATTTGAATCTAAGAAATTTGAAAATTTATTTTTTTTTTGGAGTACTGGGTTTGAACTCAGGTCCTCACACTTGCTAGGCAGGCGCTCTTACCACTTGAGCCACTCTGCCAGCCTGAGAAAATTTTCTAATTTCTTCAATGACCCACAGACGATTCAAACATGTCTTCATGTGCTTGAATAGTTTTTGTACTTGTCCTTGCTGCTAATTTCTAATTTCATTGTATTATGGTCTGTTAGGGTTTAGAAAATTATTTCTATATTTTGTATTTGCTCAGACTTGCACTATGGCCTAAGACATGATCTATTTTGGAGAAAGTTCCATGGTTGCTGAGAATGTGTTCTCTGTTGCCATACAATGGAGTACTCTAAAGATGTCTGTTAAATACATTTCATTTATAATGTTGTTGGATATATCTATTGATGAGAGTGGGATATTGAGACCATACCTTTTATTGTATCTGGACCTATCTGTCCTGTTGTCTTCAGGAGTGTTTGCTTTATGAACTTGAGGGCACTGACATTTGGCATATATATTCTGGAATGATTTCTTCTTGATGGATAGCTCCCTTTATTAATATATAATAACTTTCTCTATTTATTCTAATTTTTGCTTGAAATTTGCTTTGTCTGATGTGAGTATTGCTGCTCCTGTTTGTCTGCAACTTCCACTTGGTATATCTGTTTCTATCATTTCACCTTTAATCTGTGTCTTTGTGAGACAGGTTTCTTGTAGACAACAAATAGTTGGATCCTGATTTTTAATCCAACCAGGCAATCTGTGTCTTTCAATTTGAAAGTTAAACCCATTCACAATTAGGGATATGATTGTAATAGTTTCCTCCCCCCAGGTTGATTATGGCATTGCTTGTTCTTTTCTTTCATCTTAGTCATCTTTGGATTTTGGTGATTTGCTGAGTTGAATATGTTTGCTATTTCCTTAGCTCTTATACGTTCATGTATTTCTCTTTTGAATTTTATTCTTTCCTTGATTCTTGTGTTTGTGACTGTTTTTCTTCCTTTTCTGTGTATTATTTCCTTAAGTATCTCCTGCAATGCAGGCTTGGTGGACGTGAACTGCTTTCATTTATTCTTATCCTGGAAGGTTTTTCTCTATCAAAATTGAAGGTAACTGCTGGATATAGTATTCTTACTTGGTAGCTGCTTTCTTTCAGGGCTTGAAATATACTGTTCCATGCTTTCCTGGCTTTTAGGCTATGTGCTGAGAGGTCTGAGGTGATTCTTACATGTTTACCTTTGTATGTTAGTTGGTGTTTTTCTCTTTTAAAATCTACTGCTTTAAAAATTATTATTATTGTACTGGGGGTACATTTTGACATTTACCGAAGTTCTTAACAATATATCATAGTTGAATTCACCCCCTCCATTATTCTCCTTTATCCCACCTCCCTATATGTTAATTTTGTATCCTGCTACTTTGCCAAAAGTGTTTATTCAATCTGGGAGTTTTTGTTGTTGTTGTTTATTGGTTGGAGTCTTTTGGGTCATTAAATATAGGATCACGTAATCTGCAAATAGGGATCATTTGGTTTCTTCCTTCCCTATTTGAATCTGTTTGTTTTGCTTTCTTGCATTATTGCTCTGGCTAAGATTTCCAGTACTATATTAAGAATGTTGGGTGTGCTGATATTTGGTGCATATAGGTTAACAATTGTTGTCTCCTCTTGATAGATTGTTAAGGGAACAGAATTTATACTCTAGAAATAAGCTCTTGTACTTTTGGTCAGTTCACTTTTAATGAACTGACAAAGGCAATTCAAAGAATAAATGACATTCTTTCCAACAAACTGTGCTAGGGCAAATTGTGTCACAACCTAAGTGTAGAGATTAAATTATAAAAACTTTGATCAGAAGCCGTTGCAAAAAATCTTCAGTATCTTGTGTAAGGCAGCTTTTTAGATACAATATAAAAGCACTAAGAAAAACCAATAAACTGGAATTTATTAATATTCAAAACTTTTATGTTTCAAAGGGCCTCAAAAGACATCATTAACAACTTTTGTCCAAACAAATATGTGTAAACTGATGAACAGGCAAATAAAATGTGGTATATTCCTACAATGGAATAATGCAGCATTCAGAAAGTACTAAACTACTAAGATATACTATAACCTGGATGAATCTCAAAAACAAAATATGAAATAGTTTTATTCATATGAAATGTCCAGAAATAGCTAATCTATAAATACAGCAAGTGATTTGTGGTTGCTTGAGTGGGGATAGTAATAAATTAACTGAAAATGTAATGGGAACAGACATATGTTTTATGAGTCTTAGCCCAGTAGCTAACTCAATTTCCTAGTCAGACTGCTTTCAATTGTGTGAGTTTTAGAAAGCTTTTCTTATTTGTCTTTGTCCATTCTCAACATGCAAGAGAATTAATAATTTAACATCTTTTCAGCTCCAGACAGGGTCATTGTGTCTCTTATCTCCTGACTACAGGAGTGAAAGAATTTTCAGGACAGAAGGACATGCAACTCTGGAGACTAGCACCAGTACATTAAGACATAAGTGGATCCAAGACCACCATCTGTTCTGAAGTCAGCACTTACACCCATAAGTCTCATTTCTTAAAAACCTGTCATTCCTGCTTCTCTCAGGGGCAGGACTGCAGTCTTTGGGATGCTAGTCTACTGCACTCCTACTTTGCCAGAAAAATTAATAAACCTTATTTACTTTTCTCCAAATCCTTGCTCTCATTATTTTTGAATTTTTCATTGAGTCCAGAGACAAAAATTTTGGTGTTATAAATAGGCAGGAGGGATCTTTTTCAGATAATGGAAATATTTTAACCTTAACCTGTTATATAATGATTATACAACATTATGTATTTACTAATACTAAATAAAATTAAAATAAAAAATTATTTACTAAAAATATTACAATTCAGTAAATGTATTTACTAAAAATGCTAAATAAAATTAACACTGGTGACTATGGTATATAAATAATAACTCAATAGAGCTGTTTTTAAAGAACAGAAAGGAGAAATTTATGTTCCAAATAGGCAAACTATGACACAATTTTTTGTTATTCAGGGATTGTAAGAAAATATAACCCAGTTGACAATTATAATTATATACAACCTATACTCATTTAGTGAAATAAAATCACATTTTTTTCCTCTGTGTGCAGGCCACATAAATTCTTTGATTCCAAAAAGAATCACACACACTTGTCAACATGTTTTCCCTCCTCAGGTTTTAGCATCAAACTGAAATGTAAAATCAGCCTAAAATATAGAAACCTTAATTAGGATGCCTTTATTTTTCTGTGATTTTTATCTGATTGTGATTTTATCTTTGTTAGATACCTTAAAGCTTAGCATTCCAGAGAACTAACTTAATACTCCTTTTAAGCAAGAAATTCAGTTCCTTCATTTAGGAAATGAGGATAGTAAAATGGCTAACTTGTAGAGGTATTCTGAGTATTCGAAAAAAGTATGTAACTCTACTTATACACAGTAGGTGACAAGTAGTATATCATTGTAAAATAGCACGCACAACTGTCTCTATTAGAGGAAAAACAGGTTTCACTTCTCTTTCATATTCTTAGCTTAAGTGTGGAATGTGGAAAGGAATATGCCGTTTTTAAGGACCACATAGCCTCAGATACTCACTAGGTTTACTGCAATTCAGGTAGATGCTTGGAAAGTGCTTGGCACATAGTTTTTTCACTTCATAGTCATCAAAATATTTGCTGATACTCATTGCAAAGTTGTAACTAGGAAGCATCATTAATGTATTACTTGTTAAGTTCTTGATGACATAAGAAAGCTCATCTTCTATAGTTAAAAAGATGATACATTAGCTTCAGTTATAAGACATAAACCTCTTCAAAACACCAAACCTCCCCCAAATTATTAAGGCATTTTCAGACAATTATCAAAATAGCAGATGATTCTTGAGAAAGCAGTAATTATTAGTTCCTAAATTTGTTCACCTTGATAGCTTGTGGTATTAATTTGTTAATTACAGAATTGCAGTTTTGGTAGCAATAATTCCTTAGAATATGTCTTTTTCCTTAATGTGTGGGTCTGCTTCTTCCTTTCTTTTTCCCTCTTTTATCTCCTGTCCCTTTCCTCTTCCACCTCCATCTCTCACATACCCACTCAACATATACTTGCTGATTTCCAGAAAGCATAGATTTTCACACTCCTGGAAATTAAGTGCTCAGTAGTTAACAGTTTTATTCTCATGCTCACTCATCCTTAATTATTTAATGTATATTCAGGGGAAAGAGAAATACATTGTATGGAATCCTTACCATAATAGTGCATTATGGTGTAAATCATGATACTGAAAATAGTTGAAAAGTAGTTGAAGAGAGTGAGCTTGATGTAGGCAGCAGTACTACTAGAGAACAGGAAGCTTCCAAGATACATGAGAGGAACAACACTCCAGCCATACAGCATAAAGATCAGCACTGTGTCCAGAAAGTTGTAACCCACAACAAATGCATCCACTTCACAGTATTTGAATACTCCCTGGGTCATAGAGGTAAAAGTGAGGTAAAGGATACTATGAGGTAAGTCAAGGTGGGCACTAAGAAAACAGCAATACCTGTCTTCATTAGATCATAGACTATTTATTACTATGCATTTTTCTCATTTTTAAAACCTTAGAAGATAAGCCTAAAGTGAACTACTTCTAGCATATTCCAATGAGCACAATAATGACCCTTGTTTTTTTCTCTTTAAAACAATTTTTACCTTCCCCCCCATGATCAAAATCAAAGTAATTATGTCTGCATTAAGACAAACTGAATTTTCTTAGAAAAAATGACCTTAGAAGCAGGCTATTTCTCCAAAGATTTTCCCCATGGCTGCCCACGTCACCTTCTATATTCAGACTGCCTTCCATTCTCTCTTCTGAGCTTTTACCCAACTCAGTAACTCAGGGCTCTCCTTCCGTAATTCTTTATTCCATCTGAGAAGTGGATTGGGAGTACACAAATTTAGAGTATTCTAGATTAGGACAAGGGGAAGTATTAGACGTATTAAAAGAATTTTCCAGAAATCTGCATACTAATTGGTAATTACAACTTCTCCAAAGATAAGAAGTTGCACTTTTTGAATAATGACATAATTATTTACCAGGACCACTGGTAAATGCAAAGAAGGACAAAACTAAGAATGGCCTCTATTAGAATCCAGTATGGTTCTTGGAAATAGTTTATATTCAAGTAAAAGTGTCTAAAGGTCATATACGAAGAGAATCAGTGATCATAGGTGAGACAACCTAACAGCTGTAATTATAGTTGGTTCTTCCCCTTCAAACCAAGAGGACTAAAATTATGAAAATAAATATACTCAGAAAGAAGTTGTGGGTCATTTAGAGGCACCTTTGTTTCAAGGCTTAGAAGAATCTATTTCAAAGAAAATTTAAATCTTTAGGGCAAATGAAGAGACATATTTTGTTGTTAGATAGGATATGACTCAATGTAGTAAAAATGTAAAGTTTCCTAAATTTAAATAAAATTAGCAAAAGGATTTATTTGGCAGCACTAAGATTTGAATTTGGGGCTTCATGTTTGCTAGGCAGGCACTCTTACTGCTTGAACCATTCTGCCAGTCCCAAAGGATTTTTGTTTTGAAATAAGATTAAGCTGATTTGAAAGTTTACATTCAAATAAAAAATGTCAAGATAAATAGGAAATTTCACAGGAGATTAATTGAGGAGTGGAGTTGTGTTAGTCTATAAATTACTATAAAAGTGCCATAATTAAAACAAATTGGTGCAAAGTGACAAATTACAAACATACCAGTAAACAGAATAAGCAATATAAAATAGAAGCATATTGTTAGTTAGACAATAGTTTGCTATTTAATAAAGAAAACCCAGAAACATTAGTTTGTTACCTAAAATTCAATTTCTTTCTTCTTCTTCTTCTTTTTTTTTTGATGGGACTGGGGTTTGAACTCAGGGTATTGCACTCTCAAAGGAGATACTCTACTGCTTGAGCCACATATCCAGTCCATTTTTGCTCTGGTTATTTTAGAAATAGGGTCCTTGCAAACTATTTGCCCAGATTGGCCTTGAACCACAATCCTCCCAATTTCAGCCTCCCATGTGGCTAGAATTACAGGTGTGAGCCACTGGCACACAGCTAAAAATTAAGTTTCTGATTTAGGGGATATAGAAAATGATAAGGCTAGTAAAGTAAGCTGCGCCTGAGGCATTATGGCCTGACGAGGGAAAGCTCCCTGAGACTTTCTAGAAGTTAGCTGTACAATAAGAATACATATTTTGAGGCATTCCTACAAATCAATATTGATCAGCTGTCCACCCCTTGGTAAGGCCAATAGTTTTATCATTCACTAGAATTTAAATTAATCCAAAGACAAGCTGTCATCTACCCTCCCCAAGGTATATTTGCAATGGCTAGAGAAGCTGATGTCAGAATAGTATCCTTAGAAGAAATTACAAATATGAGAGCAGAAATAAGTTCAAAGCACATTGTCTATGATTTTTTTTTGTTTATTCATATGTGCACATGTTTGGGCCATTTCTCCCCTCAACCCCCACCCCCTCCCACTCTTTTCTGCCCCTCCCTCTCCCCCCCACCCCCTCGCTTCCAGGCAGAAACTGTTCTGCCCTTATCTCTAATTTTGTTGAAGAGAGTATAAACAATAATAAGAAAAACAAAGCATTTTTGCTAGTTGAGATAAGGATAGCTATACAGGGAGATTCCTAGCATTGCTTCCATGTACAAATGTGTTACATTCTAAGTTGATTCTTCTCAAACTGACCTTTTCTCTAGTTTCTGATCCCCTTCTATTGATCTCTGTTGCTTTACAGTTTCTGCATTAGTTCCTCTGCATTGAGGACATCAAATACTATCATGGTTTTTGGGTTTCTTACCTATCCGCATACCTCCTGTGTGTGCTCTTGTATTATCATGTGACCAAAGTCCAATCACATTGCTGTGTTTGCCCTAGATCTAAAGTCTGCATATGAGGGAGAACATACAATTTTTGGTCTTCTGAGCCTGGCTAACTTCGCTCAGAATGATGTTCTCCAGTTCCATCCATTTACTTGCAAAAGATAAGACTTCATTCTTCTTCATGGCTGAGTAGAATTCCATTATGTATAAATACCACATTTTCTTAATCCCTTCGTCAGTAGTGGGGCATCTTGGCTGTTTCCATAACTTGGCTATTGTGAATAGTGCTGCAATAAACATGGGTATGCAGGTGCCTCTGGAGTAACCTGTGTCACATTCCTTTGGTTATATCCCGAAGAGTGGTACTGCCAGATCATATGGCAGATCTATGTTTAGATTTTTAAGAAGCCAACAGATTGTTGGATCATCCTTTTTAATTCAGTTTGTCAAATAGATCAAAAGATGGGGAAATTAAGTCTGTTAATACTCAGTATTAGTATTGATAAGCATGTGGTGATTCCTGTCATTTAGTTGTCTTAGTTGTTTAAGGGTTTAATTGTGTGCAGCTAAATCAATGTTACTCTCTACTTTCTTGCCTTTTCTTTTCCTGTGGGGTTAGGTACTGCCTGTCCTCTCATGGTTTTGTTTCTTTCACTTTCTGTGTGCAGAATTCCTTGAAGAATCTTTTGTAGTGGTGGCTTTGTGGTCACATATTGTTTTAGTTTCTGCTTATCATGGAAGACTTTTATTGCTCCATCTATTTTGAATGGTAGTTTTGCTGGGTAGAGTATCCTAGGGTTGAAGTTACTTTCATTCAGTGCCCGGAATATCTCACCTCATGCTCTTCTTGCTTTTAAGGTTTCTGTTGAGAAATCTGCTGTGATTTTGATGGGTTTACCTTTGTATGGTATTTTTTCTTCTCTCTTACAGCCTTCAATATTCTTTCTCTAGTCTCTATGCTTGTTGTTTTAATGATAATATGTTGTGGGGTAGTTCTATTTTGTTCAAGTCTGTTTGGTGTCCTGGAGGCTTCCTGTACCTGAATGGGCATAGTTTTCTCTAGATTTGGGAAATTTTCTGTTATTATTTTATTGAATATCTTACAAATTCCTTTTGCTTGCACCTCTTCTCTTTCTTCAATGCTCATTATTCTCAGGTTTGGTCTTTTGATGGAGTGAGTTCTTGCATATTCCTTTCACAGGTCTTGAGTTGTTTGACCAATAGCTCTTCAGTTTTTCCTTTAATTACCATTTCATCTTCGAGTTCTGAGATTCTGTCTTCTGCTTGTTCTAGTCTGCTGGAATGGCCTTCCATTTTGTTTTGTATTTCTGTTTCCTTCTTTTCTCAGAGGTTTTCCATATCATGGGTCACTTTTTCTTTAATATTGTCAATTTTCAGCCTTAATTCATTTATCTCTCGTTATTGTTTTCTTTCTTTTTTTTTTTACTTTGGTGTTTATTCAGGGCTTCTATGATTTTTTTTATTTGTTCTTTTATTTGTTGCTTTCTCATATTCTTTATTTTTGTTGTCTTGGAATTTCTTGAGTGTCTCCTGTACATTTTGGTTGACCATATCTAGTATCATCTCTATGAAATTCTCATTGATTACTTGCAGGAGTTCTTCTTTTAGGATGTTCTTGTGAGCTTCATTCGGTTCCTTGGTATAGTTTATCTTTGTTTTGTTGGAGTCTGAATCTGGGTAACCATTTTCTTCATTTCCCTCTGGTTCCTGTACTAATTTATTATTGGAAGGAGAATGGTTTCCATCCTTTTTTCATCTTCCCATCATTCCACTTGGTGCTGTTACTGTCCCTGTACTGTGTGTAATTTAGAATTAGCTAGCTTACAATAGTAAAAGTAATGAGATCTAGAATGGAAGAGTAAGAGGAAAAAGAAAGCAAAGAAAGAAAAGAAAACAGAAAAAAAATTGAAAACCAAAGAAATTAACAGAGATGGTGTACTAACCAACAGTGAACTAAACAAGCATTTAGAGAGAAACACAAAGAAGAAAAAAGAAGAGAGAAAAAAATCCCAGGTTTAGGTGCAATGAAGTTTCATCTTAGTAGTTCTGGTGTTACTCCTTCAGCATGTAGTCCTGGTGTTGGTATTTGGGTAGTAGCTCTGTCGTTGTCTCACCTGTTGGTCTGCATCTCCCAGGCAGGTTTAGGAGCCAGCATCTGGCGGCATGGGATCCCTCCTGGTTTCTTAGTGTAACATGGTGTGGAGAAGCTTTGTGTGGGCTGGGGGTTCGGGGTATCAGAGTTTTGCTTCTTCTTGATGGTTTTTCTTGTCAAATGTGGCTCCGGTGTCTCAGCAAGATTTTTGCTTTAAGGAATTCACGTTATCTGCTTCCTCCCTCTAGTTGCCACCTTGGATCCTCTCCTCTATGATGATTTTGAATATATAAAAGACAGTGGGGTTTTAGAATAACTCCAGGAGTTTGACTCTGTACTAGCTGGGTAAAATTAGGTAACTTCTCTGAGCCTTAGTTTCCTTGCTTATAAACACGATGAATTAGAGTCACATCTGATTTTTGTGGTATTTGAATGGTATAACACATTAAAAATGAAAAGTACCTTTTCTTATAGCAAATTGTCT